ATACAAACACACACACACACACACACACACACACACACACACACACACACACACATCCATCAAACTCCGTCATCTATCAACATTAGCGGAAGGCCAGCGGTCACATTAGTCACGCGCACACGATTCCAAGCGGGCGTCCAGCTGGTGACGTAGCAGCCAGGAGTTGACGCGGGAACGATACTGGGAGTGGGAAAGGGAAAGCAAATTGGAATGGGAATGTTAGAGGAGCTGTCATTGAGTCCGTGGACTTGTGGCTGTGGGCGGGGAACAGAGCAAATACTTGCGTAGCATATACAATTCTATTGCCTGCGGCAAGCAACGGCTTCCACTCATCGACTCTCTTTCACTCAGTGCTGCTCTCGATTGCGGCATTGCTGCTAACGGTTTTATTCCCATCGAGTTGGACCCGTAAGCCAGATTGCTTGCATGCCCGCACGTTTCCTGGACGCAGCTCCAGCGTCTTGTTTCGTTTTGGCCAATGGGCCGAGGTTGCTTTATTGATTACGTAGCGCCCTGCGAGAACGCTCCGATGAATGTAATACATTATTGGAGCTTAACAGTTGGCCATTCTCGTTACGCAGCCTCCGTTCTGCAGCAGCGGCAATGGGGCACAGGGCATAACTAGAGATTATATAGAGAGCTTTAATTACAAATATACATATATTCTCTTTTACTGAGGCTGTTTTAAAAAAAAACTAAAGGACTTTTATAATTTTATGTACATATGATATAAAATTATATTTGTTTGTTTTTTTTTTTTTTTGTTTATCATATTTGAACTTATGTCTTTTAACCGAGTGCTGGGTTTATTGCGATCCCGTAATAAGTCAAGGAAAACTTTTTTTGTATGCCAGAGCTCAGAGGTATTTTTATTGACAGAGTAGAGGCAGAGTAGCCTGACCCTTCACTCTCGCGCGCTCTCTCTCTCTTTCTCTCATTCATCCTCACACACACACTGGTGTGTGTGTATATTAAGGGCTTTGCCATTGACAAGGGTTTCGTTTGTTGTTGTTGCTTTGACTCTACATTTTCGTCTTGTTGCACGTGAAAATCCCATCATGAAGACAAGAGGCAGGACCCTTAGTTGCTGTTGTTGCCTTTATTACTTTTTCATTCCCTTTGGCGTTTAATTTTCTTGCTCTCATTCTCTCACTCTGTGCATCTCTCTTAAGCAAACATTTTTTAGCTCCTTTTATTTTGCCTCTTCTTTAAAGTTTATACGATATATATATATATACATATAAAATAAAAATAAATTTTGAATAGCTGTTTGAGCGGGCGAAAATGCCTAGCGCTGATTTCTAGACAATGCTTTTTCCAATAAGAATGCTTGTTTGGAGTTCATTTCGAAAATAGAAACGAATGTACACAAAAATTGAATAAACAACAATTTCGTAAATCTTGCTAAGGCACGAGGCGTATGCGCAATTTTCCTGGCCTCTCAGCCGTGTGCAGGTGGCCAAAAAAGGTAAATGCGTAAATTTGAACAAACTCAACTGAACTTAGCTGAGCGAAATGTTATTAATTAGTTCACAAATCAACAAAATTTGTTTTCTATGATTAATTATTTGTAAATATTCACCGAAAAAAAATATAAAGCAATTTAGATTATGATTCACAACATATTGCGCATAGTTTGCAATGAACACAAAAGTTTGCTATTCACTATGAATGCCCCACATTTGTCGTCTTATTGCGTGGGAGTTGGCCGAAAACAATGAGAGAACGTGACTAACAACAATAAATAAGTCACATATATATTTCGATATATGTATAAGAAAAAAAAAAAAAACCAAACAACATATTTATTTTGCTCAATCATAAAATATGCTAAAAAGAAAATGCTGCTCAAAACATGCTAATGAAAATTCTGTTTAATTGCCTTGCTATGTGTGGCTCAAGCCCAAAAAGAATAAAAAAATAAAACAAAAACAAAAAAACCTTCAAAAAAAATCCAGTTTCAGTTGTTTCTTGTTGTTGTTTTTTTTTGTTCTCAGCTCTTTGCTTTTTACGCCGCCAGCGGCAAAGCAAACAATTTGCCAAGTTCATCAACATTTCCATTTAATTTTCAATTTATGTATTGCAAGCACTTAACAATTAGTAATTAGGCCAATAGATAAAAGCCAAGTATGCATAGGGCTAAAGTAAATTAGAGCGCAAATAAGACAAATAGAATTTTCAATTGCGAATAGAATTTTCAAAAGACCTCAATAAAAGCGAGCTTAACTAACTTTAAATATTTAATTCATACTGAAATTTTGAAATTTTAATAGGCAGGCAAGGAAAATTTTGTATATTTACATACTAAATATTCTACTTGCTCTAATTTGCAATCGGAAAACAGTTTGAAAGAATTTCTTCTTGGGTTTCTTAAAACCAATTGTTACTTTCCAATTCACATAATAATAATAGTTTAGTTCTTTAAAATCGAAATTTAAATCTATACATATACTGTCTTCAGCGAAAATCGACCGTCACAATTAAAAGTCCGTTAATAGCTAAGGTTAATGAATTCTACTTTACAGTTGAGATCCAAGCAAAGCTTATCTAAAACATAATCCTCTTTTGAATGCCCCATTGAGCAGCCCAATAAAGGACACGCTCCTTCCCATCAGATTACGCTCTCCACTCTTTGTTCACCCGCACAATAGGCAATGAAGCTTAAGAAGCTCTATTTGATTTTAATGGAGTGCAAGCTCTATTACCTAATGTGCCCATGTATATGCTTAAACGATTTGAAATTTAATCTTTATTTATATTTTTAGTTAACGAAAAGCGAGAAAAACCTATATGTATATGTATATGTATGCATGCTGATTAGATAAAATGCTATAGTACTTTTTATGCTGCTAAGAGAAAAATGTTAGAAAACTGTATTATATTAAAATGTAATAAGTTCATTATTCTCTACATCTCAAATCTATTCCAACTTAATTGAAGGCAAGGTTCTCTCTTTAAGGCCCACAAACTAAAGATAAGAAAATTGAGTAAATAGATTACATTAGGCAGTTTATGTTCTATTTCTGTATGTGTATATATATGTATGTGTGTCGTATGATAAGGTGCGTTCAGCACGTGAGCAATGGGGCTGACACATTTAAGCAGTCCCTAAAGCTAATGGGCAATAGCTTTGCACAGATTGCGTATACGGCGTGTTGTACGACAAGAGACAAGAGCCAAATAGCAAACACTAAATGACTTTTAAAAGCCAATTAATGCACGATATCTGCGACTCTTGACATGCCAATGTGCCAATGTGCCAATATGCCAATATAGACTGTCAATATGTTCGGCTTGTCAAATATCGAAAATCGCTTCTATATGTCGCACGCCCGCCCGCACTACAACAACAATAACAATGCTCGTTTTGACAGTTGTTCAGCAATAGAGACAACGAGGGGATAGGAGGGAGGAACAAAAATTGAATTTTGTGTTTGGCTGGACGGTTTTTTTGCTTCTTCTTTTTTTTTTTATTATTCCCTTAGCTGCTGGTGCGAGCGAAATTGTTAGAAGCGTTTTTCCCATCACCTTTTTTTTTTTTTATTGGCAGTAAATTAGACTTTGTGTCATCGTTCCACTTAGAAAATATAAATATATATGCAAACACCTCGTGCGAGGGCTCATTGATAAATTTTGTATATTATTATTTAATTGTCACTTAAATATACATGCATAAATATTCAATATTGTAGAGTATAATTTTCATTAATATATTTAAAATTGCTTTGTATGTTGATTAAATATCCAATTGAAATTAACAAGAATTTGCGTATTTTTTAAGCAACCTCTGCTAGAGGTATGTGCTCTTGTTTTGTTAGCAAATTCATAAATTTTAAGAGTTTTATACACCTAGACTTATTTATAAATACATTTTTTTAATAATACAAAATCTGTTGCACCGCATCAAAATGAGAGCAGACAATAAATAAAATTTAAACAAAAAAACATACTCACACAAAAAAACAAATAAGACGCCCACACAACGCAGCCAAAAAAAAAAAAAAAAAACGAGGCAATAACAATATTTTGTGCATTTTACTTTTTATACTTTTGACTCATCGCAGACTCAATTTTAATCTCATTTGGTGTGTGGAGACTTGTGGCTGTGAGTGTGACAGACTTTCAGTGTATGCGTATTAGCCTGGCTGATAAGCTATCTACATTTTTGGCCACTTGACGCAATTTGCTGGCTGCCCTTCTCTGTCCTCTCTGTCTATATTTGCGCTTGGGCAACTTTTTGCTTACTTAATTTAAGGCTTATCAAAAGTCATATGCAAAGTTTATGTGGAGACACATACATACAACTGATGACGTCTTTTGGTCGATCGACTCGATGGTTCTAGAGGGCGTCTCTTGTCTCTAATGACACCTCAGCAAATCAGTCTGCAGCGCTTTAATTAGAAAAAAAAAACTTTCATGGAGACGCAGCTAAACTTTTGACTTTACTGATTGCAAAACTTTGCCACTGAACTATGGCCAGTCGAAACAGGCAGACAGAGAGAAAGTGAGAGAGTGAGAGAGAGTGAAGAAGAGAAAGGGGGATTAAATGAGAGAGATGTATCTAGTGATTGACTAAGTAACATTCACGACATTAACTGTTTCTGCTGCGTTTTTACCGCGCGTA